AAGCCATTGCTGCGAGTCCTGTCTTGGCTGGAAATTTTTAGCAAACTATTTACATCCCCTTTATTTATTCCTGTTTTCCATTTATACACTTCGATCATATCCCCCCTAATTCTACACCTTTCGAGAGAGTGCAGATTCAGGGCCCTCAGTCTATCCTCATAGGGAAGATTTCTGATACATGGGATCATCTTTGTCATCCTCCTCTGTACATTTTCCAGAGCATTTATATCCATTCTGTAATACAGTGACCAGAACTGAGCAGCGTAGTCTAAATGAGGCCTAACCAAAGATATATAGAGTTGAAGAATAACCTGAGGACTTCTATGATTTATACTTCTAGATATGAAGCCAAGAATTTTGTTAGCTTTATTGCAAACACTAATGCACTGTTGTGTTGGGTTTAGATTACTGCTAACCAGAACTCCTAAATCCTTTTTGCAGTCAGTAGTATTAAGATCTACATTATTTAGTTTATATGTGGCATGGTTATTTAACTGTCCAACATTTATAACTCTGCAATTGTCAATATTAAACTGCATCTGCCACTTCTCCGACCATTGCATCAGTCTATTCAAATCATCCTGGAGTGCTCTAATGTCATCATTAGAATAAATTGGACGGCCTATTTTGGTGTCATCAGCAAATTTGCTTATGTCGCTATTTATTCCCTCATCTACGTCGTTTATGTAAATTGTGAACAACAACGGGCCCAACACTGACCCCTGAGGAACACCGCTTGTGACGTGCCCCCATTCTGATTTCTCCCCATTTATGCAAACTCTCTGCTGTCTATTTGTCAGCCATGCCTCTACCCAGGAAAAAAATTCTCCTCGTATTCCGTGTGCCTTAATTAAGCTTCCTCAATAGCCTCTGGTGTGGAACTCTATCGAAATCCTTGCTGAAGTCCATATACACAATATCATATTCATTACCATGATCTAACTCCTCAAACACCTTAGTGAAAAAAGTTAGTAAATTCGTAAGACAGGAATGCCCCTTTGTAAAACTGTGTTGAGATTCATTAATCAATCTGTGCCTGTCAAGATGGCTACGAATTGCTTCGGCAATTATTGATTCCAAAAATTTTCCCACTATGGAGGTAAGGCTTATTGGTCTATAGTTCGAAGCCAAAGACCTGAACATGAACTAGCCATTTACAGATATAATGACTAACCATCACCCAAACCGCATCACACGCACACCCTCGTGTGGGCACTCACCACCTCATCTTACCCTTACCTACAGCTATAACTCTCAAGTTGACACATGAGCACTCTGTAAACCAGCCGACATGTGTACATATTTATATACAAATAACAGTCATACACCTCCAAGACCGAGCAACTGCAATTCCAAGACGCGTGTACAACCTGTGTCACTATTCAGTGACAGGTGTGACCATAACAATAAAAACATTACACAAAATATATATACATAGCACACATGAATAATTTATAACGGGTGACATCACCCACTATGCCTGTCTCTCCCCAACACAAAAGGGGTGGGAACCTTCCCCCCCCCTTTTGCTGCACTCCAACCCCACCTAACAGAAATACAAGAATACAATATTAAAAGGTTGTACAATAGCACCTGACAAAAGCCTCACTTGTACAAACAAGAGCTTTGTAACAGCCACCACAGATTGGTCTTCAGGTCTCTTTGCACACTAGCATCAGCCATGGTTATGTATCTTAACCTGACAATCAAGACTCAGCCACCAACACAATGTGCTTTGACACAAAAATAGTATTCATCAGTTACTATAACCTACCAGCTCCCAAGCTATCAGGTGGGCTACTCCCATCCCCATGCTGTTCGGCCCTATCCATCTACTCCCTAACGAACATTAGAAACAATAATACAAAATAGAAATTAGGTATCTTATGACAGTGTTATATCACTTGTATACACAATATACAATTGACAATTGTACTAAGGGAATATTCAGTTCACTGTCCTTACACTCCAAATGGTGCCATCTACACACGTTCCCTTCCACACACACCCACACACACACATCACACACCCACACACACACATCACACACCCACACACACACACATCACCCACTCACTCCCAGGAGGCGACCCCGTTTCTACCCCTGATTACCCCACCCTTTATGCTGCGACTAAACCCACCCGCGCTGGTTCCCTCCCCTGTTCACAAATCCAATAAAATCCCTAATGTTAGTTCTCTGTAACCCTCCGAAAAAGCCACCTGCCACCTATTCCCATAAATTTGCTTATTGCAGCACCACCTACGGTAGGATGCTGCTGCTAAAACTCGCTGCCTCACCTAGAAACCCCCCCCCCGCGCCCGCATACCCACGAGATGCATACGTAGTCAACCATGATGTACGCCAAAGCTCTAGTGACGCCCACCTCCATCCCTCCCACATCTAGACTGAACCACCGCAGCACCGATACCCCATATCCTCCCACCCTCCTAACCACACTACACATCCAATCCCAGACGTTCCCCAAACCCTCACAAAATACACTACATGATATGCCATCTCTTCCCCACCACAGATGCCACACACCCCACCCTCTACAACCCTTCGATTCCAAAGTACCGCCCCCGTCTACAGAATGCCGTCTACAGAATTGACAATTGTACTAAGGGAATATTCAGTTCACTGTCCTTACACTCCAAATGGTGCCATCTACACACGTTCCCTTCCACACACACCCACACACACACATCACACACCCACACACACACATCACACACCCACACACACACACATCACCCACTCACTCCCAGGAGGCGACCCCGTTTCTACCCCTGATTACCCCACCCTTTATGCTGCGACTAAACCCACCCGCGCTGGTTCCCTCCCCTGTTCACAAATCCAATAAAATCCCTAATGTTAGTTCTCTGTAACCCTCCGAAAAAGCCACCTGCCACCTATTCCCATAAATTTGCTTATTGCAGCACCACCTACGGTAGGATGCTGCTGCTAAAACTCGCTGCCTCACCTAGAAACCCCCCCCCGCGCCCGCATACCCACGAGATACATACGTAGTCAACCATGATGTACGCCAAAGCTCTAGTGACGCCCACCTCCATCCCTCCCACATCTAGACTGAACCACCGCAGCACCGATACCCCATATCCTCCCACCCTCCTAACCACACTACACATCCAATCCCAGACGTTCCCCAAACCCTCACAAAATACACTACATGATATGCCATCTCTTCCCCACCACAGATGCCACACACCCCACCCTCTACAACCCTTCGATTCCAAAGTACCGCCCCCGTCTACAGAATGCCGTGCAGAAACCGATACATCACCTCACGCTCCCTGGGCCGTAACCTCAACTTACTATAATGGCGCCTTATATCCCCCCATGCATACATTGGGAAAATCCCCTCCACCTGCGCTAAAACTCTGCTCGCAAGCAGCCTACACAAGGCACCTATTCTAACCTTCTCTGGCTTCCGTGCTAACACCAAACCCCAGAGTAAGGTCCCATACTCACGCAATTCTACGCCACCATACAAAAGTCTCAATCTAGCACACACCCTATCCAATTGTCACCCACACAATCCCTCATGCAACACCTCCCTCTTAATAAAAACACATTTAACTCGCCTTTTCATATCTAACAACCCCAACCCACCCTGATGCACAACTTGTAATCCATCCATAGCAACGCAATGACGTGGTAATCCTGAAGGGTATGCTGTTGCTTCCTCTTCGGGACCAACACCACTACTGCCATTGCCTGCTTCTCCCCCAATTCACCACCCTCCTTCATCAAATTCATCAGTCAAACCGAAAAGCTCCTCAGCAGCTTCCAATGCTGCACATAAAACTCACAGGGGAGCCCATCGATACCTGGCGCTTTCCCCTTACGCATCTTACTTAATGCCCTCCATATTTCCTCCTCCATGATGACCCCGTCCCGATCTCCCCTCCCCAGTTTGCACTGCACGTAACCTCTCACTCGCTCTAAAGCCTTCCCCTCCACCCCACAACTGTTCCAGTATGCCTCATACCACCTACCGGCATAAGCACTCATACCTGTCATAGTCCCTCCTGATAACCACACATCGACGACTGAACTGCCAAACACGGGATAGCAGTGACATGCAGCCATTGTTTCTGTCTGCGCAACACGTATGCCGATGGCTGATCGCCCTATAACACCTCTCCCACTCCCCCTTGCACCTTTACCACCACAAACCTCTCCTCCTGCACCACCTGTATATGCTCCTTCACAGCATCAATGTCATCTACAGGATAAGTTCCCGCCACCACACCCTGCACATAACAATCCCGTAACTTGTCCTCCAAATAATTGATTAAATCATACTTCAATTGAGATTTGCACTTCCCCTCCCTCACATAAAATTTCCTGATCCTTTCTTCTGCTACACCGGCTCACCATTTCACCACATTTACCACCCCCCTCCCTTCCACACTAAGCTGTTTCCATAGTGCTGCAAATCCCTCCGACCCCTCCTTGTCTGCGATCACGCTCGTGTTCAGCTTCCAATAACTCTTATGCCTTCCTGCCAAAGACTCCCACCCCACGTCCACCACTATTGGAATAAGCAACTGCCACTGTGCGAAAAGACTCAACAGTGATCCTCTGGGAGAGATATACTCTATCCAACCTAGCCGCATACCCTTTCCGAACAAACATATGCTCTACCTCCCATGACCCCCCTGAAAAGCATCCCACAATTGGACATCCCTTAATAGGTCACCTAGAATTGTCGACATGTAACCCACCCCCTTTGGTTCTACATCTGCCCTCCGTATGATGCAGTTCCAGTTCCCTCCTATTATAGCCACAGATGGCAAGGCACGCAAAAAAAACACTAGATCTTCACACACAAAAGCTGTCTTCACTTGCACATCATTTTCTGCTGGTGCATACGCACACACAAATGACACTCTTCACCCCATCCACCAACCATCCACTCGCAAGACCTCCCCCTGCCCCCTCCCTCATGCCTCTGCAATACAAATGGACTTGCCTCCAGGACCAAGACACCCACTCCACCTTTCATACGGGCTGATGGCTGTGCTACCACCTGATATCCTTCCACCTCCAACACACGACCATCCCTGAAATTGTGCTCTTGAATAAACACCACATCCACCCTATATTTAGCCAAAAACATTCGACACCACTCTCTCTTCACACTGTTAAACAACCCATTAACATTTACAGTCATACACCAGAGGTCTTCTTAATGCTTCCCACCCCACCTCCTGTTAACACTTTTCCCATCCCCACCAGGGCTCAGGGTTCCCTTTTTCTTCCTCTCAATGCTTTCCTGCCCCCCCCTTCCCCCCCCACGCCCTCTGGTGTTGCCGGCCTTGGCCACCACAACGAGACCCCTCCATCCAGGACTTCTCAGGCTGCTGCGCAGGTGTCAGAACATCATCCAAATCTGATGCAGCAGCCCGCTTCCTTGCAAAGACCTCTTCCTCCATGTCCTCATCCTGGGAGGCTGCACAATGGACCTCCACCCCCACCTTACGATGTTCCATTGTGCAGGCCGTATTTGCAGGCTCACTGATAGTCACAGGGTCATCAAGGTGGTCCTACCTCACACTCTACACAGTCAGCAGCTCCACTTCCACCTCTAGCTCAGGTTCACACACCTGGCCAGCTGGCTGGGATAAGGTCTGTAGCACCTTAACTAGTTCCTCTTCAATCGCCTGCACCTCGGCCTGTACCTGCACCTCTTTACTTGCCATGAGCAAAGTCAAGGAGCTTGTTAAGTCTTGACACGCCTCGTTCTTGCTTGGCTCAGCCAGCATCTCCTCAACCACTTCACTCCACAGTCGACCCTGCCCTCCAGCGAGCCATGTGCCCTCAACTACCACTTCCGTCTCGTGAACAGGTGCTTCACCAGCCGGGTCATGTGACTGTCTCTGCTTCCCACACACCGATGCCATATGATCTTATGCCCCACAGAGGCGGCATGTACGACTCTGCACAGCGTACGACACTAGTACCTGTGTTTTAAAATCCTCCAAAACTATGTAGGACGGGATGGGATGCCACGGAGTCATTTTTAGGGTAAAGGTACTTTCCAGGCAGCCCACGTAAGCACCAGATACCCACTTTCCTTGTTGGGCCAAATGCACAGTCCCGTAAGCTTCAAAGACACTTTGGATGTCCGCCTCATCCCCCTCAAACGGGATGTTGCGGAGCTTGATCCATGTGAAATGACGTGTGACCTCTATCATCCTCATGCATACAGCTGGTGTGGCATCAATACTGACGTCCTGAAAGCGAGACACTAATGACTCATACACTGAGGCTGAGCTCAGTTTCACATAAACCCTGAATGCCCAATTCAGTGCAGTGCTATACACCTCCTCATCCAGGATTCCACATGCCTCCCGAATGATTGCAGGGAGTAACACTTGTGCAGATGTAGGCCATATCGCCCCATGGAGCAGCTCAGTTCCAAAGGTGTTGTCATGACATCGCACACTGAGCGTCATTTTGAATCAAGGTGGCTCGCAAAGGGGTGCAGAGAACAACCACACTCCACCACAGTCAGGCAGCGAATAAAAAGTGAGCTTTAATGAAGTGGAAATGCTACTCTGGGGCATGCCCATAAGATCCACTACATGGATCCTATGTCTCAGAGCATGTACAGTGTCTGGAATAACCGATGGTTTCCATAGCAACCAGTTTCCCGGATGTCGGCTTCTTGTCCTGACCAACCTCGTAAGAGAGCTCGTGTCCTGTCACCTCCTGACCATCAGTACTCAGTTACAAATGAAACCCAGTCTGGGGACGCCCAGTCTAACCTTCACTCAAACTCTCGCACTGATGTAGAGGTTAACAGTTGTAAAGCCGCAGTCCCTGTTGGCAGGTGACTGACTCGTTACCTCCTGTACGAAGTATGACAGCAATTTGTCAGCTAACTCGCTCATTCCTGTTATGGTGTACCTGAGCAGAGCTTTCGAGGGAGACTAAGTGCTAGTCGACATGTGCAGAGTGAAGGGGCTTTTTCCCTTGAGGGGAAAGGAACGTTCTGCGAGACTGTATCTGACAAAAAATCGAAAAATTAAAAAAAAAATGTTTTTTACCAAAAAATAGTGCATAATTCTGGCATCATTTTGATGTAATCAGCTTGTTTCTAGTACATTTCTAAGTATCTTTTTCGATTTTTTTTTGTTGCTGAGGTCATCAAGACGACAGGATGCCAATTCGTTTTTTTCCACAAGAAATTATTATTTTTATGATTGTTTCAATGCAAATATAATCGTTGGCATCTAGCTAGTGATCACTGCGCACACCACCAGTACCTCAGTGACTTACGAGTCATCAATGAAAGTGGAGTTGCGATGGTCGGTGAAAGGTGGTGCGCCGCCACCCTCGAGTTTCATGCAAACCATGTATGTAAATAACTTAGGAATAGCTATTGATTTTATTTTCCTTCTTTTGCGAAGAGTTTTTATAGGAGCATGATTTTTTTCACACATTATTGAGGAATGATTGTTCTATAATCCAGGAGAGGGGATTTGTGATAAATATTACCGTTCTGTTTTTATGGATTTTTTCCTCAAAAAAAAAAAAAAAAAAAAAAAAAACAGCAAATTTCAACATTTTGTGTAATGCAATCTATTAACATTTTGCTCATTTCCTTCTATCCGATGATTATCTAACTTTTTATCTTTCTTCTGATGTCAGCTATAACAATGAACATCTTACCAAATTTGTTGAAAAAGGACTCTTGTAAGACCGATAGAACATAACAATTTTATTTTTTTCTATATAACTATAAGGAAAAAGGTGAAAATAAACACGTTGTGTAGGTTTCAAATGCTTCTTAATTCAAAGGAAAAATTTCATTAAAATTAGAAAGAAAAAAAAAAAGGCAAAATCGTTCCTCTCCCCCTTGAGCCGTCCTTGCACACTGTGCAACGTGGTAAGTTGCGAGTCCTTGTCGTCAACAAGCATAGTCGAGAATTTCCCCTGCAGAAGGACACCTCACTTGTTAATCTTGTCAGATTCCCTCTCCCAGTGAGAGTGGAGGGCAAAATCCCAGCCTACCTTGTCGTAAGTGTAGTTCTCCCAGGCGAGTCTGTTACTGGCTCTTCCATCACCCAGCCAATGAAGGAAGATGATCTAGCTATGACAGACTGTCCTGAAGAAGTTCCAAAACTTCTCCAGGTTCTCAATCGTGCACGTTCCACAGTCGTGTTAGATGATGAGTCCATGGGCCTGACCCACTTGTTTCTCACCGTATTCCACTTGATAATGGTACTAAACCCATTTATGTACCTGCGTGTCACCTGCCACATGTGCAACGAGTCTTCACAGAAGAACTCATTGCAAGGATACTCCGTGATGGACTCGCTGAGAAGTCCAATTCCCCGTGGAATGTCCCTATCATCCTGGTTCTCATGAAAGATGGTACGTGGCGTCCTGTTATTGATTACTGGAAACTCAATGCTTGTACGAGCACAGACCAATTTCCATTGCCAGCTCTAAATGGCCTGTTACAGAACATCGGTGATAATAAGGTCTTTTCGACTCTTGATCATTGTCATGTGTTTTGGCAGACCTTTTCGATGACCAGAGCAAAGAGTTGACAGCTTTCTCCATGCTGACCAGTCATTGTCAGTTCGGGAGGATGCCCTTCGGCTTGTGCAGAAGCCTCATCACATTCAGTAGTTTGATCTCACGATTTTCCGTACTCTCCTAAGTGGCATGCTCATGGTCTACCTGGATGATCTCATCGTCATGTCGCAAGATGTCTCTGCACATCTCGAAAACTTGACAAGGTATTGGACAAACTAGCTCAGGCTACCCAAGGTAAAGCTCTCAAAATGTCAGTTCTTCAGGAAGGAAATAAAATATCTGGATCACGTAGTGATTCAGAATTGCCTAAAGACAGCCGAATCTAAAATTTCGGCTGTGCAGAAATTCCCTAGACTTACGACGGCGGATGCAGTCCTTACCTTTATAGGCCTAGCTGGTTTCTTTTGCACCTTCAGTGCCAGTTTCTCTACCATCGCCACACCCTTGATTCTCCTTCTTAAGGAAGACATCCCTTTCGAGTGGACCTGCGATCAAATATGATCTTTTGTAACCCTTAAGAATAAGTTAACGTCTGCCCCAGTCTTTAGAGTCCCAGATTTTACCGAGGCATTTACCTTGACGACGGATGTCAGCAAAGTTGGCATCTGTGTAGTCCTGTCACAGGAATCCACTGGTAAGCAATAGCCAATAGCCTATGATAGCCACATTCTTACCAAAGCTGAAGACAATTACTCAGGGACAGAGCTAGAAGCTTAAGCCATCGTATTGGCTTTGAGTCACTTTCGAGATATTATGTACCAATATCCAATCAATATTTACACCGATCGTCTCCCTCTGTTGTCTCTTTTCACTAATAAGAACCTCTCGGGAAAGCATGCTCGGTGTTTCCCCATGTTCAATGACTGCAATCTGACATTTGCTCCGTACCAGTCGAGGCATATAGCATTTTTGAGTGTTGACAACTCGTTCTCCGTTGAGGATCTAGAGAGAGCCCAATGGCAGAACCCTGTGTGGTCATCAGTCCTTCGATTCCTGACCAAGGAGGCTGCTGGCCTTCAGGTCAAGTCACCCGTACCGCTGAAGTACTTAGTGGTCAACCAAGGAGTGCTGTATCATGCGGTAAAGCTGGTGAATCCTGGCAGAACCGTACACCAGCTGGTGATACCAGAATCCCTGGTACCAGTCACTCTGAGGTTGATTCATAACGTCCCAGGAGCAGGGCATCCAGTTAAAGACCGCAGTATCAAACAGGCACGAATGAAATATTTCTGGCCTAAAATGGCAGCGGAAACTGCCAAGCATGTGCACAAGTGTTGCTTGTCTGCAGCACAAAGGTACCGTCACTGGTCCTAACCCCATTCTCAAGTATCCAATTACAATGGAACCCTGGTAGAGAACTTCTGTCGACCTTTAGACGAACTTCTCGAACTCGGAAAGGGGTAATAAACACCTGTTTGTAATGGTGGATAACTTGACGTGGTACTGTGAGCTAGTACCAACCCCTGATAAAACTGCCGAGACTGTTGCAAATGCTTTCCGAGAGCAGGTTGTTCTCCGACATACTTGCCCATGAGTTCTTCTCTCAGACAATTGGTCGGAGTTCATAAATGCTCCAGATTTAACATTCACCAAGCGCCAGTAGCTCCAAGCAATCCTGCAAGTAACGGCCTTGCTGAACGTACAAATCGCAAGGTTCTAGAGGTGCTCAGAGTAACATAAGAACATAAGAAAGGAGGCACACTGCAGGAGGCCTGTTGGCCCATACTAGGCAGGTCCTTTACAATTCATCCCACTAACAAAACATTTGCCCAACCCAATTTTCAATACCACCCAAGAAATAAGCTCTGATGTGAAAGTCTCACTCAAATCCAACCCCTCCCACTCATGTACTTATCCAACCTAAATTTGAAACTACCCAAAGTCCCAGCCTCAATAACCCAACTAGGTAGACTGTTCCACTCATCAACTACCCTATTTCCAA